AAATGCATCCAATGGACAGAGACACTGAAAGCATTCAATATGCACTGTCAGAGACACTTCTTTCAAAGCAGGCCAACTTTATCCTTACAAGTAAAAAAGCTGTAAAATGAACAGGCTGAAAGAGGATTACACTTTTTGGTAGTGCCTACTACTTCACAGGTAGCATTCCTACAAGCTGGCCCTTGAAAATCCACATCTAAGACAGAAGGGGACTTGAACTTGCTTTGGACAAGAAACAACTGGGAAAGTGTTCTTGGTTAATTTGGTCACATCAAAACAACGTACATTCCAGGAAAATCATCCATACAAGGACTACGCTGCAGTCATGAATTCCCCACAGTGCGGGGCTCCATTAAGAGTAATTGCTGTTTTCTTGCTTGCACAGCTGGATAGATATTTAGCATTTTGCCTTTACTCAAGAAGCCCATAGCACAAAGCAGACATGGCTCTATGTTAACTCTCTTTAAATGCATCTTTAAGATTACTTGCATGGTGGCCTAAGTGCAAAGCTAACAGAAGATTTTAAGAGGTATTTTTATCGCTCTAAATAGGATACAAATATAAACGAAGTGCTTGAACAACTGCTTGTTGAGTTAGCCAGTTCTAAGGGAGGTAAGAGAGATTAACCTTCAAACAGTTTCCTCTCTTCCAGAGACTCCCACACACTCCTAGCGCGCCTTGCTAAAACAACAAACACCACATTAAATTGGCTCAGGGTGTACATTTTGTTAAGCTACTGTCATAGAACTGTAGAATAAATCAGGTTGGAAAGGACCGTTGACTGGGCTTGCCGGATCTGAAAATCAAACCCAACTAAACAGAAAAGTGCAATCATCTCAACTGTAAGATGAAAGAGCAGTAATTAGGAAATCATTCTAGTGTTTTGGTCAGATTGATTGGAGTACTAGAAATCTCAAGACTGCAAAAAAAAAAAAAAAGCTAAAAAAAAAAACCATTCGTATCCCTCTTCTTTTGCTGTATGTTCAGAAGCTACACAGTTTATGGCCACCTATTTTCAGGCAATAAGGAGCTACTTTGGTGTTTTACTTGTCTATGGGTATATCTAAGAGTGAGATACAAACAAAGCCTAATTTGGTATCTGGGATTTAGCAGAATAATCATTAGAACCAGAACTAGTAACATTTGTGCTTCCCCTGTACCACCAATGCCTCAACACTTCAGTCAACACCAGCACCTCGTGTGGCTAAGTGACAGACTTTTCCAAAATGATTAAGAGAGAAGGGAGTCCCTGCACCCAAAAGCACGCCCTTTAAGCAAAAGCAGAGGTTGCAATGAGGGCAAACTGGTATGGTTTCTCTAAGAGGAGAGTTCTCTGTTCTGTTAGGATCCCTTGAGAATATCAACAAATCATGGGTAAAATTAGTCCAAGTAATTTATTTAGTTTTTCAAAAGCCTTTTGTCAAGTCCTCTAGAGAACATTAAACTAAGCAGTCTTGCAAGAAGAGGTAAAATAGTAGAAATGAATGGTTTACTTTAATCATGCAAAAACGTAACGCTTGGGACCTGCAAGATTTTCCATACTTGGATAGAAATGTATAGACTTAATTTTCTGATCAAGGAAGAACAGTAACGTGGCAAAGTTTGCCAATTATTTTGAGAAGTTTGGATTAAAAGAAAGACTGAAGCAAGTTGAAGGAATCCAACAAAGCTGGATGGGAAGGGGAAGCATAATTGCATATTGTCAGGTACCGAATATTGGACTAAAGAGTTTGAACGATTCAGACACTTTCCTGAGCCGCCTTCTAAATAAACACCATACAGAAAGAGCTGTGGTTTGGTGAAAGAAGTTTAGGGGTAAGATTACTTTTTTCTTCTTATAGTTGAATATCAAGGCAAAAAAAAAAAATCAGAAGACATGACACTGAATTACAATTATCACAAAAGCGGAGTTGTCTCATAGCTCCATCCATACCTCAGAAGTCCATATGCAAAATTCAGATCTGGATCTGAAGAGATCCAGGAGATACGGATGGCTTATCACAGAATCACAGAATCGTTTAGGTTGGAAGGGACCTCTGGAGATCATCTAGTCCAATCCCCCTGCTCAAGCAGGGTCACCTAGAGCATATTGCCCAGGATCACATCCAGACGGGTTTTCAATATCTCCAGCGAAGGAGACTCCACTACCTCTCTGGGCAACCTGGTCCAGTGCTCTGTCACCCTCACAGTGAAGAAGTTTTTTCTCAGGTGCAGATGGAACTTCCTGTGGTTCAGTTTCTGCCCATTGCCTCTTGTCCTGTTGCTGGGCACCACGGAGAAGAGGCTGGCCTCATCCTCTTGACACTCCCCCTTCAGATACTTGTACACGTTGATGAGATCACCTCTCAGTCTTCTCTTCTCCAGGCTGAACAGGCCCAGCTCTTGCAGTCTTTCTTCATAGGACAGGTGCTCCAGCCCTCTAATCATCTTGGTAGCCCTCCGCTGGACTCTCTCCAGCAGTGCCATGTCTCTCTTGGACTGGGGGGCCCAGAACTGGACACAGGACTCCAGGGGAGGCCTCCCCAGGGCTGAGGAGAGGGGCAGGATCACCTCCCTCCACCTGCTGGCAACACTCTGCCTAATGCACCCCAGGAGACCATTGGCCTTCTTGGCCACAAGGGCACAACACTGCTGGCTCATGTTTAACTTGTTGTCCATGTTTAACTTGTTATCCTCAACACTGAGTCATCCTTTCTCTTGGTACAGAAAGGCGCCTTTCTTCTGCCAAGGGTGGTTGCACTTCAATTTCCCTCAGTAAGTACAGATCATTGTGATTTTCACTGTGGGGAAGAGCAGCTCTGAAGCCGTTATCTGGCTGTTTTTTGTTCAGCTTGCTTGCTTGTTCATTTAAGTGAGGTGTCACGCTACACCCTTTTACTTTGGCGGTCAGTATTTTAAAACATAATTGCAGTTCTTGGCTGCCTTTAAATATATCATGCTAACCTTTCCACTGAAGAACCTTAACAAATAATTTGTCATATCTTCAATATCCTTGGATCCAGCTCAGGGATGCAGTTGTTACTAATCATATCCTCTCA